TCGATAATGATATAATTCACTTACAACATTTTTTTGCCTCACCAGACCATACCTTCAAAACTTCACTGTTACCATGCAATAAATGCTCTTTCAATGATGATTCTTCCTTTGTTCCTTCTAATATGAGAAACAAACAGGAAACATGTTTTATAATGTTACCTTTGCATCTATGTGCTGACATCAAAGCTCCCCTCCTTCCAAATGTTGATCATATCTGTTCTTTGTCCCCTTATATGCTTTATGAAATTGCTTTATATAGTTACAATTTAACTGAGAATAGTACACTTAATATTCCCCCAATTTTGTCTTCTCCACCCCTAACACTCATACAAATTTTTAACATAGAAATCCTCAATAGTTTAGACAACTTTAAAACTCATTTCATACAATCAACCAACCTCTCGTTTTATACTGATAGTTCCCTTATCAATTTAGGTACTTCTTCAATCTGTATGAACATGGCCTAGTTGCAATCTAATCTTTCAGCACCTCTACTTTCCTTTAATGTTTCTCTTATCCTTTTCCAACCTTCATTTTCTTTAGCAGAACTAGTAGCTGTACTATCTGCCATATATGTAGTATTCACAAATGCTACAGTTGATATTTTCACAGACTCATAAAATGTCATTTCATCTTTTAATAAAATGAACTACTTCTACACCTTCTCCCCTACCTTTAACCCTATTTTTAAAATCTCCTTTTACCCAATTTGGTTCCTTGACTTAAAGTTAATTAAGGAAAAGTCCATTTCCGTTGAATTTCACAAAGTTAAAGCTCACTCAGATGAGCACTACAATAATGTTATTGATGCATTAGCAAAAGCTGATGGCCTCCCAATCACTATAAATAACAAATTTCTAGGACACCATCATAATCTCTATTTTAATGAGGATAATATACTTATACTACCTAGATTGTTTGTGAAAGACCTTTTCAGATCAATCGATTTTCATAATATACAATTACTTCCTCACTTTAAAAAGTACAGTACAATGGATGTGGATTGGATTCGAACCTTTTTCATTCTTAACGACAATGAA